ACCGCAGTAACTGCCCCTTCATTTGTATCCTCTAAAGAGTTGGCACTGTTTTTTTTAATCATGCTCATCAAAGGCCCATGAGCTAGGAAAGTAATTTTGCAAGTGTTGATGTGATGTTTAGGAATACGCCATTTTCAAGGGTGGGAGAAGGGAGAATGACCATAAGAGAGGGAGAGAAGGTGAAGGTCAAGAGCAGAGTGTTGGAGGGGTCATGACCACACCACAGAGGAGCTGGCCCTGGAGCACCTTCAGCTGCAAGTCCTGTGGGGCCTTGGTGTAGACCCCTGTAGACATGCTCTAGCAGAAGCAAGCCGCAGCCTGCAGAACACCCAAAGGAGGGGCCGACACCCTCCCCAGGCCAGCTGGAGAAGTCTCCCATGTCAGGGCTACCTGTTGAGAGACAGCCGAGTGCTCCCTCACTTACGGCATGCATGGCAGGACCTTGCTGGGTTGGGGGCTGAGGCCCAGGTGAGCACCTGTTATGAGGTGCTGCTGTACCTTGGGCTTGTCCAGCCTTCACTGTCCACAGACACTTGTCTGCCCCATGGTTGTGGGAATGCAATGAATTCTTCTGGAAAAGAAACGTTAGGCCATCTCCTGTGGTGTCTCTGGTACTGCCTCTGTCCCCTAGCAGCACCCACCCTCCTGGGCACACCGGGATCCATGATGGTGGCCTTCCATCAGGTGCCAGGGTTTCATCTAGGAGGACTGGCTGCCTCCTGAGTGTACCAGCTTTCCAGAGGTTTGGGGCCAGTGGCTGACTAGGTTGTGAGTCCCCAGTTGTGATTTCTTTCTCATTAGAGGGACTCGCAGCTGGCAGGGGCCTGCAGCAGGCCGTGAGAGCAGTTCTGCTCTCGTGCTGCAGGTTACTGTTGCTTTTCTATGTTTTAATGCAGACAGTTAGGGTTTTGGTTAATCATGACAAGCTATTAATAATTCCTGCTCTATTAATTTTCTCATGTAATATAATGTTTTAACAGCTAGAATTTCTCCTGTCCCCCTTATCTTATCACATTTATTTTCTACAGCAGTCTGGGATGACATGCAGTGATTTCCCTGGGCTCACATTTTGGGGCAGTTGCCAGTTTGTGGACTAGATAACATTGTGGTGTCTCAGCATCTGCATCTCAGATACATTCACTATTTTAATATTTGGTCATTTCTCTAGTTTTCCTTCATTGGCCCTTACAGTCCCTCTTTGGGGCACATCCACATGGCCACTAGGAATGAGGTTGAGTCCCCTGCAGTAGCTCCTACATAGATGGAACATGACCACGTGTTTTCATCCGTGTATTGGACCTAAAGGCACCAATTCTGCAACATCCATGTGCCATGAGTGGTGGGAGAATTGCGCTGCCATGCAAGCCTGGGGTCTGTTGGGGACTGTGGACCTCTTGCCGCAGCATCCCCACTTCCAGATTGAACTGCAGGTGATTTAATTTTTCTGATCATACAAACTCATTGCTTGTTAAATTCCCCATGAAGAAACTCACAGCTGAGTGTCAAGTGTTTGGACTCGTGGGGTGGGGAGAGCTTTAAAGAAGAGGTAGACAGGGAATATCTTTCAAAGGGAACCCCTGACTTCACGACAGATTGGATTCAGAGGGTAAAGGATCAGAGTCAAAGCCGAATCTGACAGTGTGTGCTCGGGCAGCGAGGCTTCTCCGTTGTGGGGAATTGTTGTGTTGTGAGGTGGTCAGATTGGAGAGAGTGCACACGGTATTCTGATGGACGACCGACTGTGTTAGAGAATGGCATCACACATGGGCTGGGTGTGCCAGGTTTGTCGTGACTGGCCTGGTGTTGGGAATGTACAATTGCCACGAGGCTTCTGAGAGGAAATGCTTCTGCCTGCCCAGGGTCCTCCTGGAGGGGAGAGTGCTGTCCTCTCCCTGCCCTCAGCCCTGAGCACTCAGCTTCCACCCACACCCATGTCCACCGTGGTCTTCCTGACCTCCTACCCAGAGAAAGAACAGAAGGACATGCTGTTGAGCTGGCTTTGTAGGCATGTGTACCTTGTAATATTATAGCTACCCTTGGTAGAAGAACCAGAGGACATGAACAGAGTGTTGTTTATCACATAAGAAACCTCTGGGCCAGAAGTGAACACTGAGGAGATCCAGCCTCCAAAGGGAGGCAGCAGATGGCAGATAGTCAGGGTCATGCCACCTGTCTGGTGCTGCCCCTCTGAGGCTGTGTGTGCACTGGGGGCTTCACACTGTCTCTGGGATTGTGCTCCAGGTGTGATGGTTCCCATCACCCCTGATAAACTCAGCCTGTTAGGTTATTCAGCTCTTAGCGCTCCTATGGAGATGTCCCCACGTTTTTGATGCCAGATGTTCCTGGGAGACACATTGGGATGAGGCCCAGGCATCTGACCCTGGGGAGGTGGGCCAGTGGCCCAGCATGGTGGTTTCAACCACTTGAGACTTTCCAGCATGTCTTGCAGTGACTGGTGGTGAGTGGGGACAGTAGTCTTCATTGTCACCTTTTTTCTGTGACGAGTTCCCCTGCTGACCCTGGGGACTGTTTCCTTGGTGGGTGGGATGCTGGACTGTCCTCCAGCCATCTGGCCAGGTACATGCAGCTTAGTGCTCAGTGTCTCTTGGCTTCCTGCTGTGAGTTGTGGGGCTGTGATGTGATTTACAGAGTGTGGAAGGTGAGAGGGTTTTAACTTTCCCCATTAACAAACCATGACACAAGTCCAGGGGTCAGAGCTTGGGAACAGTTGTCCGGATGAGCCCGTGGTTGGTGGCCCAGGGGATTGAGTCAACTTCTGGTTTTATCCAGGTCTGTGAAGAGGGGTATCTGTCTATGTGCCTGGGTTTACAGACAGTCCCCAGGTTCTTAATAGACACCTGCAGCTGGAACTTGCCTGACTGTGCCCCTGTCTTTTTCTCAGAGCCCCATTAACCTGCACGGTGGCTCAGTGCCCAGTGCTGTGTTGTTTGGGGCCTGGAACACGATACAGAGCAGGGCTTCCATCCTCAGCATGCCCCTGAGGAAGAGTAGAGAGAGGGCAGTGGGCTTCAGGGAGGCACCTGAGTCAGTGCTTCTTGCTTCACATTTCCTAAACACGGGTGCAGAGTTCTGACTCAGAGGTGCCTATGGTACGGCACAGTCTCCCTCTGTCCTCCTCCTTCCCCAGAGCAGTCCATCTAAACTTTCCCATGTGTGTTCTTTTATTTAAAATGTTTACTGTAGATGCCACATTATTGTTCTCATGGGTATTAGATTATGTTATGACAGATGTTTTCTTGAACGTAATTCACAAACTGTAACATTGATATTTTTAAAGTCTTCAGTTCCTTGGCCTGTCATGTACACACAGGGTCATGCAACCTATGTCTTCATCTGAGCTTAGAACAGTTTCATCACTTCTTATAGGAAGCCCAGGTTTGCTAGCCTTCATCCACCATTCCTTCCTGCACCCTGGAAGTCGTGACTGCCTGTTTCTGCGGCTGTGCTCTACGTTTCTGTAAGTAGGCTTCATGGAGGCTCCTTCCATGTGGTGTGGTGGTCTCAGGGTTCATCAGTGCCATAGCTCTGGTCAGTATTTCCCTGCCTTGTGTGACCCAGTCGTTCCAGGGTGTGGCAATATCATGACTTGTCTGTCCACGCGTCAGTGGTGCACACCTGGCGTCAGTCCTCCCAGGGTCTGCTGTCAGTGCAGTTCTGTGATGAGTGCTCATGTCCAGGTGTTTGCATGGATTGCTTTCATTTCCCTTGGGCGGACACCCAAGAGTGCCATTGCTGGGTCAGAGGGTAACTCTTTTCCCTGCCCAGCTGCAGGAGAGGTTTGGTAATAGGGGCAAGTTATGGTATGAAAACTGTCTTAGCCAGTGTCCTCCTGTTTCTCTTGATGGAACTGTCCTCAAATAGTTTTGGTTCACTTCCATGGTTCTGAAGGAACTGATTTGGTTGTTGTTATTTTCTTCTGAAGCTCTGCTAATGTGCTTGAACTTTGCTTCCAACAAATGCATCATGGTGGTCAACCAGCCCATTAGAAAACACTCTTCTCCCCACACCTTGACAGAAAGACATTCTAAGAAGGGCACATTGGTGTCTAAGGTCCCCTGCAATAGTTTCTTTCACTGCACAGTACATAGGCTGCTACTCTACTTCTCTTTCATTTTCCTTCATCCACTATTTTGATTTCTTTATTGAACTGTAATTTGCATTCATCAAGTTCTCCAATTGAAGACTGCAGTTTGATGAGCTTTGAAGAATGTGCAGTCATGCAAGCTCCATCACAGTTATGAGGTGAAACTTTTCTGTCCCTGAGAGCAGTCCCTTCCCCCTGCACAGCCAGTCTCTTCTTGACATTCTGGCCCTTGGAAATCACAGGTCCGCTTTCCGTTGCTACAGTTAAGTCATTTCTTGTATCTGCAGTGTATGGAGGTGGCTGTGCTGCTTGTGCCCTCTGCATCTGTCTGGTTTCTTTCTTCTCTCAGTACAACATGTCAGGGTTTGTACCCTGGGTCCAACAGCAGAATCCTGTGTGTGGACATGATATAATGTGTTCTCCCATTTGGTAGTGTTGGGTGCAGAACAGGCTGAACTGTGTTGTCTGCAGGGCAGGCTGAACAGATGTTGTCTGCAAGATAGCCCACACACTCAAATCCCCCTCTGTCTAGTCCTTTATCACCAGTTTGTGTCAAGTCCCACTCAAGGCTGAGCACTCAACCCCCCTTGGGCCAACAAGGCAGCTTGCAGACCCAGAGGCCCCATTAGATTTGGGCTATAAAAACTCCCTCCTGCCAGGCCCCCCCTCTCTCTTGCTCTTTCTCTCTTGCTTTCTCTGTCTCTCTCCTGTGTGCGCTTCCCCTCCCCCTCTCTCTCTCTCTCTCTCTCTCTCTCTCTCTCTCTCTCTCTCTCTCTCCCCTTCTTTCCTTTCTCTTTGTTGCACTACTGCAATACAGATCTTTTGGTTGCTCCAAGTGTTGTGGTCACTTTCCTTTCATTGGTGCCTAAACCCGGGAGAGGGTTAAAACCCACTTTTGGGTCCCTCTTCCTTCGGAAGTGCCACTCACCAGATGGCCTGAACCCAGGCTTGAACCCATTTTCTCGACTGCCAGAACTTCATCCACCACCGACCTTCGATTGGTGAGTTTCCCCTTCCTGGAGTCCTAAACCCAATGGTGGTGTCAGGAGGATATGGCCGTTGATTGTCCGGCAAACCTCTTTGCCCACCTGCAGGGAGGAAAACACCCCACCACAGCCTTTAAGGCTACGGTGGCCCTCAGGGACTCCTTCCTCAGGCAGAATAGTCTCCTGGGTTCAAAATTATTCCCTTCCCTTCCCAGCTGTTAGTTACCAGCATAGGCTTTGTAGGTCTCCCTCAAAGGACTGTGTAACCTCCAGGGACACATAACAGAGAACTGAACATCACAGTCCACGCAGACCTTCACCATCTCTGTGGCTCTCCTAAAATCCTAGTCCTCACACCTTCAAGACTTCGCTGCTAGAGAGAAACTTACCCTCCCCTTCCTCCCTCTTCCCCTGTCTCTCTCTTTCCCCTCTTTCTGGCCCTGCGAGTCTCTGGCCTCTCCAGGAGAGGTCACAAAAAGAAAAGCCTTGGCCAAGGTCTCCCACGGCTCCAGCTCCATCTAGGATGAGAGCTTCGACTGTCAGGATTCGGTAATGACCAATCTCTGCAGCTCGAACCTGCCACTAAGGCACTCCTGATTTTTGGCTCTAGCGGGGATGCCCCTTTGGCCAATAAATCAGTTTCCTCCTTCTCTCTTATACTACGGTTGCATCTCCTTCCTTCTCCTCTATACCAAGTTTGCATCCCCTTCCCTCCTCCTTATACTACTTTGTGACATGGGTAATGTGTCCTCTCTGCCAGTCAACTCTCCCCTACAATGCCTCTTGGATAACCTCAAAACCCTCTCCTTGACACCAGACATCAAACCCCCAAAATTGATCAAATATAGCACCCAGGCCTGGTCCACTTATCCCTTAGACAACCAAAGCAGATGGCCCTCCTTTTGGGTCCCTGGATCCCTCCATTCTAAGGGATCTCTACAATTACTGTGAGCATTCGAAAAAATGGGTAAAAAGCTGCTATATCAAAGCTTTCTTCTTGCTTGTGCTCTCTGCACCTCTTGCAGACCTCTGCAAATTCTTCTAGCTTGCAAACCAACACCCACAATCACTGATCCACAATTCCTCCTCCTCCAGACTCATCCACTACTTTTGACCCTACTCATGAATTTGACCCTATCTTCCGGCTCAAATAGGTCCTCACTCTCAACCTTCTGCCCCAGCCCCTCCACTGTCTCCCCCACCTGAACAACCTGACTTTTCCTCTCCACTCACTAGATCAAAAACCTAAACAACCATCTTTCCTCAAAACATTGTCTCTTTTCTGAGGTAGCAGGTACTGAAGGAATCCCTCTACCCACTCACTCCTCTCTTCTTCTGTCAGCGCCCACACCAGGTCCCACCAGGTCCTCTTACCAGCTAACCCAAAGCTCAAACCAGCTGAGGAGAACCCTTGGACCCCTATCAGAGATCTGGTGAAAATGGCCTTTAAAGTTGCTTTGTCATCACTGAAAACAGGTTACTAAGAATTGTCCCTTACAGCCTTTTTGGGATATTCACTCCTATCCTCCCCTCTGCTCTACCTGTTCTACTGCTCAAGTTTTCCTTGCTAGGGAAAATCCTATTCTTTTGCATCACTTCTTCCTCATTCTCAGATCCACAGCTGCTCTCAGCCCCACCTTCCCGTCTTCCCTTCCTTACCCAGGCCCACAGAAAAGGCTTAACTGACCTTCTCCAGAAATCTTCATCATGGCTGATTTTAGGACTTTCAGCAAAAAAATCTCTACAAAAAGTTCAATGTAGATAAACATCCTATTTTCCTGTTGCCCTGTTTTACTTGGTCACTGGCTGGAAAAAGCAGCACTCCAGGCGCTGGACACCCCCTTACTAGTTTTTCACAAAATATGTAAAACAAGGCCTCTGGCCTTGAGCTGGGGCTTCACAGAGAAGGCTACATGTCTAAGATAAGGAGGTTACCAACTAGGCTCCATGATAACAGCTGGAGGGGGTGGGGAGGGTGGAGGGAAGATGAGAGAAAGGGAAGAAAAAGCTCTCCCTCTCCCAAGTGTCCTTGAAGGGTTAACTTGCCCAGAACAGAGGGAAAAAAAAACTGCTTTTTGTGAACTTCTGAAGACTTTGAACTTCTGAGCCCCTTCCCTTACATGTTGGGTACAAAATTCTGAAACAACCTAAACTTGGGGTTCAGGGGATTAATGGATTACAGCAGAAGATGTGGCCTCTAAATCCAGCTGCAACCAAATAAATCTGTTTCCCTATTTTCAGTGCTATCTTAGGTGCCTTGCCTTGTCCGTCCCTACAACAGTATAATTCTATATACTTAAACATTGTTCATGTTTTCATGAAATGGTCAACAGTTGTGATTAATTGTGTACTGCAAATAACAAAATCTCTCTTATTAAAATGGAATAATTTGCCTAAATTCAGAAATTTACAAGGATTATTTAAAAATGTAAAAAAAGAAAGAGTTAACAAATAGGAAAGAGAAATTAGAAGGTTCTAGGTATGGATTTAATAGAAGGAAAATGTGTTTATGGATAAGAGAGTCTACTAAGTAAATAAGAGGGTTTAAGCAAGTGATGAAGAAAGTCTGTGTATGCTGATTTTATAAGTTTAAGTGCTAAAAAAGGTCTGTATATACAACTATGGTTCAACAACAACTGTTATTTTGCAATATTGTAATATGTTATTTCTTTAAAAGTTAAACTTGATTAATATAAAAACATCAATAATAATTGTGGTACTATTACTCTTCTTTGTATATTAAATGTGATCATATTTTCCAGGTATAAAAATCTTTAAGATAGAAGCTTTTAAAAAAACTATATCAAGCTGGTGTTCTCCAAAAGGTTGCATGGTTATTTTAGGCTTATAAAAATAACATATTGGAGATTTATTTATATCATTTAATGTTTTATAACTGGACCTGTTATCAATAAGATTAATATAAAGTTCTATACACTGGGTACAATTTAAATGTAATATACTATATTACCTAGTATTCATGTGACATTAAGCAACAACATATATAAACTTTATAAAATAATATTTAAAAAAGATCAGCTTCAATACTAGAACACTTTACCTAAGATTTATAAATCTTAGCCTTACCTGGGATAATGCTGTGCCTCCCATCTTCCTACATGTAAGAATGACTCCAAAGTAGGCCAGACTTCAGCTAAAGCCCAATACTCTTAATTTAGGGTGAAACTGACTTTGTTGGATGTTTATGATCAAGGCTTAGAGTTAAATTAAAATGGCCAAGAAAACCAATATTTTTGGCTCTGGCCCTCTGAGTCAGTCTGAATCCAGGGAACAGGGAACTTCTCTAAAGAGCTTTGCAACTCTGGGCCATATAACCTACTGATCAGGGAGGTTAATGAGACCACTGGAGAATGAAAAGCCAATCAGTGCATTTGCTGTGAATAGGAGGGTCATTGGAGACAGGAGACAACAACCTGATGCTTCCAAGGGAAGCCACATGATCAAGCAAGACCTGGACCCATCCTAGCGCAAATGGCACTAGCAGAACTAAGAAGCTGCTCTCAAGTTCCCCCATGAGCAACCCCTATAGGAACTCGGTTGACTCTTAACAATAGATAGAAACAAAGTCAATTTTGACCAACTTGATCTTAAACACCTACCAAAACCAGTTAAGCCAAAACACAGTCATTCCTGGGAGCAATAAAGGACAAGAACAGCTAGAAAAGAGGAGACAGCAACTAAGCCAACAGGCTCCATGGGGAATGTTCAGTTAAGTATGGCCTTGGCTCCTCCCCCTCACAGGACCCCTATTAGTCATTTCTATGTTTCTCCTAATAGAACCATGTCTATTAAATTGCCTACAGAAGTTCATGCAAGATCAGATACACAAATTCACCAACAAGCTGGTCAATCAACTACTTCTTTAAGACTACCAGCCCTGATGCCCAAGATGGACACCTACGACTCATGACCAACTCCTCTGGCTCCAGAGACTCTGTGCCCATCTAAAACCCTCTCTAACCCTTTTTCCAATTTTCACAACCCCTCTTTCACTTCCTAGGAATGAGAACTACTCTCTAGCATGTCCACTCTGCTTATTCTGTCTGCTCTACAGTATCCCCACAAGGAAGCATCAAACCTAAACTCCCCCTGGTACCACCATGTCTCCCACCTTAAAAAGGCACTTGTTCCAAATGTCCAGTCCTGGACTTCCACCATGCCCACCAAACTGAAAATTTCTTGACAACCCTCTTCTTCTTTTACTAATCATTATTCTCTCTCAAGTTTTTATCTCAAACCACAGATACTGCTTCTACATCAATGTGACATGACACCAGGATGACACCACACACTCTCAGTTTATGGGTCAAGGCAATTTCCCTTCCACTGGCTGTAATCGGTCTGTCACCCTTAACATTACTGGATTCAACCAAGCCACCTCCAATACTTCCTCGAGTCCCTGCTACAGGACCAGTGGCCGATACCAAAAATCTCCTCCATCCATGACTGGTTTGATGCCATCGAGGACTTGTGGCTTCAAGGAACTTTTATGGACTTTACCCCTACCACAGTAGTTGTCTGTAGCCACTGAGTGTTATTTCTGGCTGCCCTGGTGTTCTCAGACCTGTCCCCCGAACATTCCTCCACTTCCCCTTCTAGGTCTAACGCCGCCCACCATTAAGCAGGAAGAAGCCAGAGGACTTTATGCTGTCCCCCATGTCACTTAGAAAAACAAAAAGGGAGGAATGTTGGGTGCAGAGCAGGCTGAACTGTGTTGTCTGCAGGGCAGGCTGAACAGATGTTGGCTGCAAGATAGCCCACACACTCAAATCCCCCTCTATCTAGTCCTTTATCACCTGTTTGTGTCAAGTCCCGCTCAAGGCTGAGCACTCAACCCCCCTTGGGCCAACAAGGCAGCTTGCAGACCCAGAGGCCCCATTATATTTGGGGTATAAAAACTCCCTCCTGCCAGCCCACCCCCTCTTGCTCTCTCTCTCTTGCTCTCTGTCTTTCTTGCACGTGCTCTCTCTCTCTCTCTCTTGCTCTTGCTCTCTCCCTGTTCATCTCTTCTCTTCTTTCTCTCTCTCTCTTTCCTTCTTTCCTTTCTCTTTGTTGCACTGCTGCAATAAAGATCTTTTGGTTGATCCAAGTGTTGTGGTCACTTTCCTTTCAGGCAGTCCATGGGCATTTGTGCTGTTTCCTTTTGGACCATTTTTGTATAAAGCTATGAGTATTCATGTACAGGTAACGCAGTGATTCTAGTTTTCATTTCTTTTATGAAAATGCCCAGGAGAAGAATTATTGATCCTGTGATGTTGAGAGCCACAGCCAGTCAGAATGACTCTTAGCATTTGCCTGAGGGAATGTTTGAAAGGTGACACCAGCAAACCATTGAGATGATGATTTGAGTTAAACTGTATATAATTGCTGTGATGCTGGATTGTATTGTATATTTGACCTTTACTGTGGGGCAATGGGGCGCTACTTTGGAGTTCTTGTGCTACTTTGGAGTTCTCGCGGGGATTCCCGGAGAGTTCCCATTGCTTGGGGAAGTGCCGGAGGAGGGATTTCAGTGTGGGTTGTTTCTGGAAGGGCCGTGTGGGTGGTGTTGGCGGAAAAGCGTGCATGCAGTGCCGGTGAGAGTTGAAATAAAGTAGTTGCTGTTTGAACCTACAAGGCTTTGTGGTGGCTTGGTTATTCGTGCCCAGCCAGACTGCAGCACTGTGATCTATTTTAACTTTGGTAAGTTGTAACTAATGGTGTTGAGCATGTTTTATTTTGTGGTTATTTGCTGTTTGCAACTTCTTTGGCAAAAAAGACTGTGCAAATCCTTTGCAAATTTATTATTAGGCTGTTACCAAATTTCAAATTTCTAAAAAAATAAAATTCAATAAAAATTTTATACATAGTTGATTCCAACTTAGGACTTAGCATTATCTTTTTAACATCCTTAATGGTGTCCTTTGAAGAACAATCTTTTAATCTTGATGAAGTCTAATTTATCAATTTTTTTCCTTTGATAATTTTGCTTTTTTATGCCCTATTTAAGAAAATTTGTCTCACCCAAAGTCATAATGTTTTCTTCTTTGTTTCTAGAAATTGTATAGTTTTAATTTGTGCATTTATTTCTGTAATGTACTTCACATAGATTTTGTAAACATCAAAAATTGAAGTTCAGGTTTCTCTCTTGCTTTGTGGAGACCCAGCTATCTCAGTGGGAGATGTGGAAAAGTGGCCATTTCCACTGAGCTTCCTTGCCACATCTCTGTCCAGTGAATTTGCTGCTAACATGTGGCTTTATTCTGGATTCCACTCTGTTCCATTTACCAATTTGACCACCTTTACATTATTATAGTTTCTTGATTGTTGTCACTTTATAAAAGTTTTAAAATTACGTATTTTTAGTAGATTTTCTTTCTCTTTAAAATTGTTTTGGTCACTCTAAGTTTACACATTTTACCAAAAAATTGATAATAAGTTTGCCAAATTCTAGAAAATCTACCTGGGGTATTAATTAGGGTTGTACTAATTCTGTAGATGAAGATTGGAGGAATTTACATATTAGTAGTGTTGAATGTATTTTTACATATCTCTCTTTGGTCCTTTTAAAATTAGTTTCTACACTGTTTTATAGCTTTTGCTGTACCAAGAGTACACATTTCAAAAAGCTTACCCTTATTTAATATTTTTAATAGTTTTGTTAAGAAACTTTTAAACTCCCTATTTCTAATTGTTCACTCTCTGTATACACACATATAATTTGTTTGCAAATTGACCTTTGTATCCTATGACTTTGCTCACCTGGTTTGTTAATTTTTGTAGTTTTCCATAGATGGTTAGGATTTTCTACAGAGATGATCATTTTACCAGATAAAGCCAGCTCGGCTTTGCTCATTTCATTTTATTTCTTTTTCCTGTCTTATTGCACTGTCTACACTGCCAGAACACCAGTGAACAGACAGGGGGAATCCTACCTGTCTCTTTAACCTATTTGGAAAATGTTCAGTCTTAAACCACTTGGTGTAATGTGACTTGTGAGCTTTTCATGGACACCTGTTTGTGCATTATGGAAGACCCTGGAGTTACGGAAATGGCCTAACATTTCTTAGCAGCCCACAAGTTTTGGTATGTAATGATTTAGTTTTTATTCTGCTCATAAGCATGCTTATGCACAGATATGTCCTCAGCTGGAGACCCTGTAGTCATGCTGTAGAACTCTAGGGCTCCTCTCCAGCATTCTGCTCTACAGATTTGCTGGCATCATTGACCTCCTTGACCTCTAGACCCTGTTATTCACTCATGAGGCAGCCAGGTTGTATGTCACATCTTGTCTTCCACCAAGGCAGCTTTCTGCAGGAAGTGGCCTGAGGCCCAGGAAGGCCGAGCTGTTTGTTCCCATTTCTCAGGGGTCCCTCTCTTGTGCTGTCTACTTTCCCAAATCTTAAGACCATCACTTTGTGTGGTATTCAATGTACATATTGTGGACAGAAAGTAAGTCCAGTCCCTGTTACTCCTTTATGGCCAGGAGCAGAAGTCCACTTTGAACACCCTTGAAACCTGAACTTGGTCTGTGGCTATGACTTAAGAAGGAAGCACAATGAGATGTAGACTTTCAGAAGCTGACCTCCTCTAAAAGAGGAAAGGTAAGAAATGTCAAACCGTGGTGGGACAGGAGGCCTGGGACAACCACTTTGGTGTTTATGGCTTTTCATCATACATTAGCTTAACCAAGGGAAGATGCAGGAAAGTGCTGATGTTCCGTCCACCTCAGACAAACTAAATTGGAATCTGCTCATCAGCATTCTGTACACACTGTCCTGCTGAGCCTAACGTGCACCTGAGTCACTGTGAGCTCCGGAAGGTGACTCTGGCCTCTTACATGAGGTAGTTCTGTGACAACTACCAGGACTGAAGGATACACAAACTACAGTGACACAGGTGACATGATCTGGGAATGTGTAACTCTTAACATCTTCAGACAGGCTGGGATTTTTCTGTGCAGCTGAGGAGCAGTAGGGTGTGTCCTCAGTCTGTACTACAGTGGCAGCTGGGAAGTCCCCATGAATATTTGCTGGTTGTGTTCTGCTTTGTGATCAGGTATTTGGATGCTTATCCTGGAACCTGCCAATCAATGATGTTTTTGCCATGATGAAAATTGCAACAGACTTCTTACAGGAGGAATTTTATCAAGGCATTTAATATCTCTTGAGTCTCTTTATTGTTTTTAGCATTCTCATGTGTGAAATGGTCAACTTCTATTATCTTTTAAGATTAGTGACATTCAAGTAAATTGACCATATGGAAGCATTTAGTAATTTATTAAAAAGATGAGGGGGACTGCTAAAACATTTTGGGTATAGTATGTCATAAGATAGTGTGATTTATTTCTAAGCCCAAAATGGCTTAGATGTAATGGTGCCTTTATAAACTAGGCTGTATAAATATATGTATTGCTTTAATTTGAGTTGGCTCATAGAGGAAAGTAGGCTTACTTTTAGAAAAAATTAGAAACAAATAAGTTTTCAATAGAAATGATTTTAATGAACAGGCTGGAAAAAATACAATAAAATAGATATTTTTTTTCTCTTTTATAATTATTTGCACTTTTTAAATATTTACTCATTGTGTAGGACTGAGTCTCTTTGAATTTCTCTTTCATGTAATAAACAGCTGCATTGGTCACATGCAGAATTGAACTCAGCTGTAGGATTTTACAGTGTGGCATGAGATATTCGCAACTCCTGGGGGACATAGAAAGATGAAGCCACTGCTCTGGCCAGCATGAGGCAGTACTTTTTCAGAATTCCATACCATTTGGAAAAGGGCTCTGGAGGTGGTATGGGCAGCATTGGAAAGGACTTCCTTTGGTCTGGGTGCATCTTCTGCTCCTCATTACGTTGTTGAAAACCTATGTCTACTGTAAGATTCTATAAGTGTGTGAGTCCATCCATACTTATGAGTTGAATGACAGGCCTAGGTATCTGGTAGTGAGGCTGGCATTTGCACTCATGTCCTTGTGGTAGCATTGACAAAGGTAAAAGATGGCCTTCATATGGTGCATCATGATTTAGACATGAGGTGTCCCCCAGAAGCTCATGTGTGAGACAATGTAAGAACAGGCAGAGGTGAAATGAGTGGATCATGAGCTTTAACCAGATCAGCAGTTAAATCTGCATGGATAGATTGACTGAGCGATAACTATAGGCAGATAGGTTGTGGCTGGAGGAAGAAGGTCCCTGGGGATGTGCCCTTGGGTTTAGTTTGTTCCTGGTGAGTATAGCCCTCTCTCTGTTTCCTGGTGGCCATGATCTGAGCTGCTTTCCTCTTTAACCATGCCCTTCTGCTACATGTCCTGCACCACCTGGGGCCCAGACCTCTAGAGTCAGTTGACCATAGATGGAATCTCTGAAGTCATGAATCAGCATAAACTCTTCTTATTCTGAGTTTTTCAGGTCTTTTGGTCACAGTGACAAAAAGCTGACTAAAACACTGTGCTTCAGTGCTGCCTCTCCGGGGCTTGCAGGGAAGCGTGACCCTGGGCTTGGTGTTAGAGACTCAGCTCCTTCACAGGGAGGCATTTTGGAC